AAAATAATAATTTCTGGAAAAATATTAACACTACAGAAACGAGATTTACTTCAAACTACGGATTTTGAATTTCAGGATACACTTCTTTCTGTAGATTTCTGGGATGCATCCACAGGTGTTTTTATTGTGTACGTTATATCTGATGTTGTAGATATTTCTATATCGTTCATTTATAAAAGATATTTACAACGCTGGAGTCCGGGTTTCGATACCCGTTGTGGGCAGAGCACAGATAGCCCATTGTGTAGCTTTGTGCTTAATTACAAACAAACAAACAAAGCTATAATTACTCATTATTGATCGTTGTGGTTTTGTACTTTTACAGTACTTGAAGTTTTTGTATACTTAAGATTTCTGTGATAACTTTAAACTACTTTCATCACTATTTAAGAACGTACTGCATTTCACTGTATTGTTGTGTCTAGGATTCGTTATTGAAAAAAAAGTTTTATTTTTCTTGTATATTACTTCGTTAAAGTATGTTTTTGGAAGATTTGATTACTTACCCAGAAAGATATATTATCTGGAGATTCGTTGTTTGTCTTAAAGTGTTTTTAAAACATTGTACTGTGGTAGCACAAGTTTATATTGTAATGTAACTTTGATTTTTACTGTGCTTGTATGTCTTATGTACCTGTCATCTGGTTAAGTGTTTCGATAGATATAATAACTGAAGTACTACAGGGGCCAACTTATATATTTAAACATAATGTCAGTAATGGCCATATTTTGTGTTCTAGTTATATATAATCCACATAAATATTTTTAGACTTTCACACGGGAGACATAGCTTACATCTTCTAGTTGTTATCTATTGTGACATATCCACACTTGGATGATATGCCCTCTTTACTTTCACCTGAGGATGACCAGTAATGTGGGTAACGCATGCATTGTTGGAGGGACAACCCTATTTGTCTAAGTATACAGCAGATAGCTCTCTCGCTCTAAAAAAAAGTATCTCTGGAATTGATTCAGAATTCGAACATTCATTCTGTCATCTAGTCGAATTATCTAACGTTTTGTGCATCGTCAATTTGATAAATAATGATTGATTTGACTTTTCTCATCACTGTATTCAATCCCTTTTTTTTCAACTCAGTCAATTCGGAATTTATTTTAGTTCTGCATGATTTAGGGTTTGCTGGCTGCCACAGTATGTGAAAATATGGTACTGTTCTCTTTCCAACTTTTCATGTTCAATTTATATTGAAATAAAATTATTTTCAATATTGCGATATACATATGACCATTAAATCAATAATCTTTGCTATATTGTTTGTGTTTCAAGACAAAAAGGTGCTCTACTTGTTCACAAAATCGTGTTTCACTTTAATAAACCTTAATTACGAGCATGCCAGTGGCTAAAGGTTTCGTTTTATTGATTAGTTTATTCAATTACAAGAAGAACTAGTATACAAATCAAGTTAAAAATAAAGAAATACATAACCACATATTTCTAGTGTCTCATTATGTTTATATAAGGTAACATTTAGATCAGTTTGAAGAGAAGGAGGTGAAAATAGATGTTTATCTTAATTGATTTATTTGTTTGTTTTTAATTATGCACAAAGCTACACAAGGACTATCTGTGCTCTGCCCACCACGGGTATCGAAACCCGGTTTCTAACGTTGTAAGTCCGCAGACATACCGCTTTGCCACTGGGGGCATCTTAATTGAATATTTGATCATTTTTTACCCTCTTTGTTTCAAAGCAATATAAATCCTTGCCTAGATTAAGTCTATAATTAAAGTATTTTACTAATTTAAACGTTATTTTATTGAAAACTGAACGACACGTTTGAAATTGATGTTGATACATACATTGTAGGTAAAAGAGAATTGTAAACAAATTCCAAGATGGACAGCCATCGCTACATTTCTTTCTTTTGGCGATAAGTAAGGTGGTCATTCGGCTATGCTTGAATCTTGTGACAACACTGGTATTTGGGTAAGTAAACACTAAAAAGAGTAAATGATAATAGCCTACAAGTTAACTCATTCTGATATAATTATTTCATATCAGTTACAGTTGCTACGTACGTTCGATTTATAGAACACAATACTCACGAGAGCATGTATGGAAATTTAGGCCAAAATACTGAAAAGTATTCAATGTCGAATATTAAGCATTTACTTTTTGTTCATAATAGTATATATGTGTTGGCATATTTGATTCATTCTCACTTTATATGTCAATAAATCGTAACTCCATTCTTTGACAATGTACGGACTCCTCTGACAAAAAAAAAAGAACTTTTATCGTGCAGATAATTATCCATAAGTGCACTATTATAAAAATCAAGAAACAGATTCATCTTCTTTTGTGTGATTTCTTGCATTGTTTATAGACATCAGCTCCTTTTGATATACATAAGATCACATTGAATAGTTTGCAAGGGTATCTATAAAGTAGATTTTACTTTCGACATTGCAGGTTTATGACCAACGACCAGTTACAGAACCAGTCGAGCGAAGAAAGCTGACATACACCGGAGCCCCTATATATAACGGAGACTATTACTACACAATTGAATTGGAATAAATAGCATGCCAAATATCAAAGGAATAGAGATTTTAACTCAAAATTCTGAATTCTATATACCCATTCTTAACAGCTATTGAATTGATTGAAATAAAGAAGCGATAATTCGTGTTCATGAACGTCATTTAATACTGTGGTATTCTTATGTACGCTGATTACATTAAAGGTAAGAACTGTAATCCCAGTAGCAATAGGAAAGTAAAAAAAAAAGAAAAACTTATCTAGAACACGCTCAACAGTAAGATCAGTACAAGTATAGGTTGAGTACAGATAGCCCATTGTGTAGCTTTGCGATTAACTTCAAAGAACCATACGTCTCGGCCACGTAGAACACGCTCAACAGTAAGATCAGTACAAGTATAGGTTCAATACATCTCGTCCATGTAGACAAGACTAGAATTTTGATTCGATAATTTGTTGAACGGGTAAAGTTTAAAATAATGACTATGTTTTGTAGAAAACATTTCACAAGGAAAAATGCCCTCCAGTGGCACAGTGGTATGTCTGCGGACTTACAACGCTGGAAACCGGGTTTCGATACCCGTGGAGGGCAGAACACAGATAGCCCATTGTGTAGTTTTGTGCTTAACTTCAAAGAACGAAGAAATTAGCATAGAAATTATTTTACAGTCTACAGATTTTACATAGCTTTGCGCAATACATATCTAACCCTAAGTGAACTATGTTGAATAGATTTAGCCACAAAGATATATATATATATATATTGAAAACTCTAAAAGTAATAAAATCCTAAACAATCTGTAGGTAATAACAGTTCGAGTTACCAATGCTTAGAAATTGAGATTCATAAACCCTACTGTTTTTAGTTCTACAAACTTGTGATGGTTTTACCGAATGCGAAGACCCAAAACAATTTGTAGGAGAATGGATTGGAGGAAAAGACAGTTCACTGTTTTTGCTTGAGAAATGTCCCAAGCTTACTGGCACTATTCCATATTTCATGTGGAAAATTGGAACAAAGGTAAACTTCATACTTGAAAAAAAATATTGAAATACCTTTTCTTATTTATAATTGTAAATAAAACAAGGAATCATACTTAAAATAAATGTCTGTAGCTGCAAAATTTTACGTTTTTAAAATTTAATTTTTTTGTTTTATATTGTATGAATTTTTTGCTTTTCATAAATTTTATTGTTTATTTGTTGTTAAGCAGACTATAGAAATCGAAACCACCATTTTAGATTTTTAAGTCCTATAGATCCCCAAGCACTAATTTTATTTTCATAAAGTTTGTTTTTAAAAGCACATTACTACTCTTTACTAGTCAGATAGCTATAATGTCCTCCATAAGCAAAGTATGACTATTGGAACTTTCTGTCTGACTTCCGACATCAAACACCACCCTTATAATGTCAAGCATTTCGTTAGGGTGATGCAATTCGATTACATTCATATATCTGTACTTGGTTGCTTAAACAAAGTTTACAACAGAGAAACTTAGTTGTATACACTTTTCACTTAGTTCGAGGATTTACGAGGTTACAAAAAGCACACGAAGTAAGGATGGGCGGAACGATGGCCACACTCACTTTGCACTGTATAAAAACCCACCAAGTGTTGTAATGTTATCCTGTTCATTCCTACCTTGTTTCCTTACTTTTGGTGCTCCCATTCCTACTTCTTAGTTTTTTATTTAATTTTTTTCATATTTTTTATATTATAAATTCAGTTCTTTTTAAACTCAAAAGGTAAAGAAACTGTCAACATGAAAATATTGCCCTGTAACTATTGGTTTATGATAACATTTAGTCTCAAAACTTATTCATAAGTTAACTATCTTAGTACCTGAAAAAAGTAAAGTTTTTACAGTTTGTTTTTCAATTATAAATTTGATATTGTTATGTTGAATATTGAAATAGTTTTTAAATTCATGAATATAAGATCTTTTAAAAACTACAAATGTGCCATCAACATATGTTTGATAAAGGTTTAAACTGCCATTGACTAACGGATAAATCTTATTTACCTGTAGCTTTACGCTTTCATTGCAAATTAGCAAACAACAGTAGCCAAATAGTGACACGTGATTTATTTATGTTTAGGCGATCGAGCTTCTTTGTGTTCACCAGTTTGAGACAGACATGAGATAACTCTGTTTAGAATCCTATTAAAATTCCCACCCACCAGCACACGAGAGATAAGATATTATGTCTTTGAATTGTCATTCTGGTGTGCGTAACACGCTCAACAGTAAGATCAGTACAAGTATAGGTTGAGTACAGATAGCCCATTGTGTAGCTTTGCGATTAACTTCAAAGAACCATACGTCTCGGCCACGTTCTTCTACAACTTTTGGAGAATAGGCGGGAGTTTTGTCTCGAGAGTAAGAATCAAAAACATATGTGTGTACGTAAAAGCTTTAATTTGCATTGTTACATAATCTGAATTTTCTAGAAAATCTTCCCACGCCTATAAATATAACCAACGCGACGCGCCAAGGAGAGTGTCTATTATTAGTTCGCTATAGTCAGTGTGCTATAAACTTCGAAAGCTATAACTGTGATTGTTTTTACTCTTTTCAATCGAAAAACTTCAGATATTTGACCAGGAATATTTGTAAATTTCGAACATTACAGATTATTTAACTTCAGTGGATTCACGTCGGACATTAATACTTTTTTACGAAAACATTACCTAACTTCAAAGGTGGAAAACTCAGCGTGTGTGGCAAAGAAAAAAGCTAGTTAGCTTCCCGTTAAGCGAATCGTACCTACATCAACTCGTAATTAACTCGCTCATCGTGAACCCTCAACAAGATATCAAGGAAGTTCCAGACTAGGAAGAAGACTTTATATTGTTTGTAAGTTTGTGAGACTTTTGTTTATAAATCATTGTTTGTAATAACTGTTATTGTAAATTGTACTGTGGTGTAAATATATTAAAACGTGTTTGTGTTAAAAAACAAAACTGTTTGTATCAATCTTGTTGGCAAATATCATAAACTGACTATATATCGGCATATATTTAAATGCTAAGTCCAAATTATAATTTAACTACTAAATTTATATTATCAGTTAATACAATTTTAGGCTATTTAAAATTATAATACGTTAACGCTAAAACCGGGTTTCGATATCCATGGTGAGCACAGCACAAATAGCCCATTATATTGCTTTACCCTTAACAACAAAATAAACAAACAAACCTCGTCTGGAAACACAGCAGTTTAATGCCACCTCCTCATCACTCTGAATACCTTGCTAGGAAATACAGTAGTCTAGTGGGTGCCAATATATTATTAAAGCATCATCTTCAGAATTGTGACTAATGTGTATCAAAGAAACGTTTTCAGTACATGTCTCTTTTTATGATATCATATGACATGATATTAAAATGTATATGCTCTTATTCGAAACGAACGTATTATACAGGTCTCACCTAAATCTCAAATTCGCGTGAAATCCTTTCATTCACTAATGGGTAGTTATTTCTTTATGCATACGACACGGAGAATGGTGTCAGTACACGTTAAAATCACTTTGTGAATAATAATATGTACAAACCTGTTACAATAAATAATAGTTTTTGAAGAATGTGTGTGTATGCTAGTTTTTTATATAACCATTTTAGAAGCTTACAAAACATCGAAATATGATAAACAAGCAGCGCCTATAATCACTAACTAAAAAAAAGTCATATTCCCTTTATCACCCTGTCGGTAACGCTTTCACGCTCCTATTTTCATTTTTTTGTAATGCTCAACAACATAGATCGTCGCTTAGCAACGAAACTATCACCTTATTGTTCTTAGGCCAACTATGCTGTTTATGTTGAATGCTCAATATTCATGTTGGTTTGTTAGAAAGTTTTTTTATTCTTTGTTTTTTAAAACTTCGGTGATATAACAGCAAAATAGTTTAATTCAGAAGTTTTATGGCATTGAGTTGTGGCCAAAAGCAAAATAAAATTTACCAAGTAGTGTTTCATCTAAGCCTTACGTTACATTTATGTATTAGGCTTAAATTAAATTACAAATAAGCCTACTATTACTAGCGTTAACGTTTTAAATGGTGAATAAATGTTAATTAATAAATATTATTTTGGTATTTTAACACATATATTACCTACTTGGCTTTAAAACATAAAACAAAATAAACGTTTATTGCTATCAAATATCTTTTATCCTTTGTACAGTTGAAAGAGTTGAAAAATTTGTGTTGGAATGTCTGCACTATGTTTTCTACTTCCTGACCTAAAATACAGTGAAAAGGCTCAAGCATGCTATTTAAGTCTCTTTCGGAGTGCACGCGTACTTTTGTTCACGCTAACATTTCATTATTCTGCGTAGTTTTTATCAAAAATGTGGTGATTAAAGAATTACTTCGAGATGATGAAATAAGTGAAAGTAGTGGCATATTGGAGGTACAGACAAATTCGTTTTATTTAAATTCTATAATTTTTCGTTAATCATTTAACAATGTTTCCTCGTCATTTTTGACGGGCTTTTATACTAGTGTATATATAAATGCATATATGTGTATGTATGTATATGTATCTAACCAAGACACTTGCAAGTTTCCACTTGTGAATACAAATAACGAAACTCTACAATCCTTGAACCCTTCTGTTTCTTTTTCTTCTTTGTTTTTATATTTTTTACCGGTTTCGTCACATGAAAGGTCAGTCTTCAGAATGTAATCATTTAAGTATCACTTTTCGACTAAATATGAATAAGCTGAATTAAAACATAACTGAGTTAACTACACATTTTTCACATTGTACAAACATAAAATAAAATCCTTATATGAACTAAATACATTATTGTTACTTCTGCCATATTACCTCTATCTGGTATGTCTGCGGACTTATACTGCTAAAAACCGGGTTTCGATACCCGTTGTGGGCAGAGCACAGATAGCCCTTTGTGTAGCTTTGCGCTTAACAACAACAACGACAACAGCCTCTATCTGTTTAAAGTGACGCCAAAGAAAAATGATGAATTACTTTTTTTTCGAAATAATTTTTTAAGTCTTATGTTACATGTCCGAAAAGAACATGTGTAAATTGTAGTGAAATTCTATATTGGTGAAACAGATAATTTAAGGTTAAGGATGAATTTACATAAATGCAATGTTAGATTTCCCGAAAAAAAAATATATATA